CCGAGAGGTTGACTCGTCAAGGCGTCAACCTCTCGCTGGATCTCAGCAGTGAAGCCCCTAGGGGCCTCGTCTTCAGTAGTAGCTACCTCATCGGCTACTTCAATAACCTCGACTTCAGGGAGCTCAGCAGCACTCCCTTTGTTGGAAACCGCTTCGAGAACCCCCTCCTTTGGATCAGGAGTTCGCTGGTCCACCTCCATGTCATCAATGGGAGGAGGTGGTGGAGGGGTCCTCGGCGGTGATGGAATTGGCCGCGGTGGCTGAGTCGGGGGCGGAGGACCCCCTATACCTCTTGGAACCCTGCCTCGGCCAGCAGCAGGTTCCCTTATTACAACGCTAGGCATCGGCCGACCAGCAACAGGTTCCCTTATTACAACGCCAGGCATCGGCCTCAGCGTGAAGTCTCCCGGACCCATAACAGCTGGGCCCGTCCTCCTTCTCTTCCTTTGTTCAAGAGGTTGGTCGTCCATATTGTCAGAATCCGAAGAGTCGAGTTCTGAAAGGTCGTCTGACGACTGGGGAGCCTTCCCTTCTCTCTTTTTGCCCTCTTCCTCATACTGCAGAAGTGGGGGAGCAAGAAGGGATCAGTAAAGAAAGAAAGAAAAGAAAGAAAAAATAAAAAGCAAAGTGCTGAAGGCCTTACCGAAGTCCTCGGCTGAGCCTCGGCAGCACCAGAGGTCCCTTCACCCCTTTCCAGGGAGTTGATGGCTCAGGTCACTTCCGCAGCGGCTTAAGCGGCGAGCACTTCTTCGGCTAGCAAGGGCCTCAAAGGATCCTGCTTCTCCCACCAAGGCTTCTGCTTCAGATAATCTGCAACAGCCTCGATCTGAAGGCCCGTTGAGTGTAAGTGCAGCGGACGGTCCTTCAGAGCAGTAATCGCCAGAGCTCGGTCTAAGATGACCTTTTCAGCGTTCACTCCTAGTTGATCGTAGTCGATTTCGGAGGTAGCCTCGCTCAACTCTAAAAGAAGAAGGTGAAGGTTAGCCTTAAGGTATAGACAAAACAAATGAAGCAATAACAAAATAAAGTCCTCGGCCCCAGCCGAAGGTACTTACCGCCTCTATGCTTTCGACTGAGGCCGACAACTGCCAACATCTTCTCTTGAAAGACGTAATGGTTATCTGGAAGCCATCGGGTTGGGATGAACTTCATTCGGCCGGTCCCCCCAGGATTTTTCTGCTTCCCGAAGAAGCTCATCTGCTCATAGCTGGGGTGGCGAGCGGCATCAGGCGGGGTCTTCGGGGCCCAAATCCTGCATGTTCAGATCGGGCCTGGAGAGGTAACGGGGGGCCCCAAAAAAATAGGGGTGCTCCGGATCAGCGGAAGCCCTTACCCAGATCCACTGGCCTCTCCAGTCCTTATCCGAAGAATCGTTCGGCCACATAGTCAAGTATTGTGGATGGCTCTCGATTCGCCACCAGCCGGCCCCATGGTGACCGTATACGCTCTGGGTGTTCTGCACCAGCTGGTGCATCCTTCGGAAACAGTGCAAGTTCGATTCAACAACAAAAAATCGGCATACCCAAAGATATGTCATCACCCGCCGAATACTGTCGGGCGTCAACTGGCACAGGGAGATCCTGTACTTTATCAAAATGTCCCTGACGAAGGGATCTAAGGGGAACCGAAGCCCGTACTGTAGTTGTCGAGTATATACCCCCACATACCCAGGGGGAGGGCGATGAATTCTGTTAGTCAGCGAAGGCATTCGGCATCAATACCCATCTTCCTCAAAGATGCCATAGTGCAACTCAATCTGTTCGGCAAACCGATAAGCTTCGGCGTGCCTAACCCACCAGTAATAAGGGGTATTGTCCCTCATGGCTCTCTGGGCTTCGACATTTTTCCATTCAACGTGCCCAGGTAGCAAATCCCAAAGCACAGGAGGCATATCTTCCTCCTGTTCAGCAACCTCAGCCTCGGCACCTTGCTGAGGGGCAGCAGCGTTCAAGGGGACGGCCGGAATCCCCCTTTCTGGGTCTTCCTCGACGCATTCCCCGTTCCATACGTCGGCGCGGTCCCTAGGTTCCCTGGCCTGACCTCGTCTTCTAGTCCGGCGACCTCTTAAGCGAGCCATTGGTGAATTCGTGAGAAAGGAAGTTGGGAAAAGAGGAATTCTTTTGAAAAACTAAGAAAATCAAGGGAAATTCGAAGAAAATTACCTTTATGAGAATCGAAACTCGCCGATTCAGTTAGTCGGAGCAACGGGTTTGAGCGTCAAACTTTGATTTCGGGTGTGGAGTGAAGTTGCAAAGTGGAAGCGATAGTTTTTCAGAGAATTCGAGAGTGAATTGGTGAAGAAATAAGGAGAGAAATAGCGAATTTGGCCTTATATTTCCAGAAAATGGGAATTTCGAAAGTCAGAGTGCTTAGATTTTCTTAAATGCCTCCTTAAGTAACCGTTAAACACTCTCTCTCTCTTAATTAACCGCCCATTATCCACTCAACTTCCCCACTAATTATCCTAATTACAGTTATTTAGTTAATGACTGTTTAAAATTTAAATCTTTCGATTTAATTAAATCATTTACTTCCCTCCATTTTTATTGGATTCAAACCTGACCAGTCATCCTTCCAAATCGGGTCTGGGGGCCAAGTTGTTTGGGTCCAATTAAGCCAATTGGGCCTAGTCATTAAATGATTCAATATTCCAAGGTCAAGGCCCAAGCCTCCATTAAGCCAAGTCAACATGAAGTCAAGCGGCCCAAATTGTCATGGTCAGCCCATGACTAGGTCTGGCCCATCCATCCTCCTCTCTTTGTCATGCTAAGGTATAAAAGCCTTCACTTGCACCATTTATCATTCATTCACAATTAAAGCCTCAAGCATTAACTCTCTTGCATAGCTTTTCTCTCAAAACACTGTTTGACTTCGGCATTGGAGGGGTCTTCCTCGGATCCACCCCCGAGGCCAGTTTAAGTGTGTTTGCTGTGCAGGAAACCTTCGGCCTAGCATCATTTGGACCGGCCAGTCTTCATCCGCTTCATTGGACCTTTGGCAAGGTCCCATTGTTTTCACCCGAAACATTTATTAATATAATAAATTACAAAAGGCAATTAAACATTTACATTTTCAAACAATGTGAATGAAATATAAGGAGGAAGTACTTTCTTAGTGTGCCAGTACAGTGTCGACGGATGCAAATGATACGCAAACAATTTGTCGTGTAAAAGACTCTCAGAAAGGTCAGAACTTAAAAGTGTTATTTGGGTTGGTCAATTACCTTAACATGGCATATTGGCATGTGTCTGCATGAGTGCATGACTGCATTTTCTACATCAAATAAAGGCAATTGACCTTGGGCCCCCTTGGATAGCCTCACATAGCATGTGGCCCGGCCCAAACAAAACAACTTAGATATTTACCTCTTGGCACTATTTGCCATCGATCTAAATATCTAATACTCTCTCCGTTTTTAAATACTTGCTCCAATTCTCAATGCGCGGAGTTATAGGATAAAGTGGGGAAAATAATAAAATATGGAGGTAGTGGGGTTAGTGGAAGAATAATAAATTACAAAAATCAAAAGTAGTGGAGATAATTGGAGGAGAGAAAATATGAAATTCATAAAATATGATTCATGGTGGATCGTCTAGGTGAGAGAAATTAATTAAATATTGTAAAAGCTTTCCAAATAAAAAAAATGAAGCAAGTACTTAAAAACGGTCAGAAATGAAAAGTGGAGCAAGTATTTAAAAAAGCAGAGAGTAATGTCTATAATGAAAAATATTTTTTCTTATATTTATTTCAATCGTCATAATAGAATTTAGGGTTCTACAAATTGAGTTATTATAAAAAGAGTATCACTTGTCAAACTTGAAATAAGACTCAAGAAATCAAGAACATACAATTTTTATTTTTATTTATTTTTTTTTTTTTATCAATCAATGGTACAACATGAAATTTTAGTATCCGAAAATACAATAAGATTATTTAAGTAAGGAAAATGCTCACGATCACACTATAAAATAATGTTCGGTTTCAAAATAAAATAATGTTTGTTAGGAAGTACTATAATACTATATACTACGTGTTTCATAAATTATCATCACCTCAAATTAAACTGCCTCTATAGTCTATCCATGATATTTGCAATTGCAACTTTGCAAATATGTGACTGTGAATTGTGATAGAGGTAAAGTGGTGATGCACTTACTTGTCCCCATCCATTTGGTTATGCATGCGTCAACTCTAAGCAACAACAAGAGTACCAACTTGCATGTATATATATTCGTAACGCGGAATTTCCTTAGAATTTTGTATTTCTAGATGGTCTTATTCATGAATTAGGCTGGTCAAATAACGTGTCCTAATTATTATATCAGTATTTCACAATTATCTTCTAATCATCTAGACATCAAGCAATGACCTAATTATAAACTAGCATATTATTTACAATTTCATAATGATCTTCTATTCATCTAGACATCAAGCACGTCTAGCATATACAATTCTAGACATCAAGCAATAATCTAAATTCTAAACTAGCATTTTATATACAATGCAAGTACATCTGTTGTCTTCCGTTTCCTTACGAACATTTATAATAGTTTATATTTTTCATTTTTCACAAACGAAGGTTATAGCTTGATGATTATTTTCACTAATGTACCACTAAATCAATTCAAGTATAATAACTTGATTAATATCTTAATATATACTCGTATAATTTTTTTGGTCCTTTAATTTATACATAACCCTAGTGAATTTAAATTGTACATTGTCTTTCTTTACCATTTAATTCACTAAAATCATCACTAAAACAAAATTACTCTATACAATTCGTTTTTAAAGTTCCTCAATACGTAATTGAAAGGTGATTGTCTTATAAAACGATCAAAATAAAAAGATCGACTTTTTAGAGACAGTTGATAGTAGAGTCTCATACCTTGCAATATTCAAACTAACACAAAAGTCAAACCTTAAACGTTGGGATAGGAATGAAGTTTATACTTAATGCAGGCAGTCAAATGTCTATATGATTAGAAAAAGTCAACTTTGCAATACCAAATTATTTCTACACGACTGCGCGCGTTGGCAATTCATGTTCACCAGATAATCCCTTCATTCTGATTCCTTCCTATAATCATACTTCATACACAATATAAATAGAAATACTCCTTAAAATCATAATCAAATAACCAAAATCTTTCATTAAAAAAAATAAATAAAAAAATACAGGGGAAATAAATAATGAAGACTGGTGCTAAATTCGCTTTGTTATGTTCATTGTTAGTAGGAATTTGTTGTATACAAAGCTTGATAATAGGGTGCCAAGCTGGTAGGGTTGATTTAAAACTTTCAATAAACCCGGTTTTTAAAGTTAAGGCAGTTAATCTTGGAGGATGGCTTCTTACTGAAGGATGGATTAAACCTTCACTTTTTGATGGCATTCCTAACAAAGACTTACTGGTTTGTTTCTCTTTCGCTCTTTTTATAACTTATATTTTGTCCGAGATTAGTAGTCACATATTCTATTTTAGAATGTCTGGGAAATAAACAATGCTATTTTTGTATTGGATTTTTAGCCAATTTTTCATATTTTTTCTAAGACTACATTTAATTTATTTAGTACTTGTAAATATACAGGATGGAACACAAATTCAGTTAAAATCAGTGACAATTGGAAAGTATGTATGCGCTGAGAATGGTGGAGGGAACATTTTAGTTGCTAACAGAGTTTCTGCATCAGGTTGGGAAACCTTTAAGGTAAGCTACACTGTCTAAAAATTCGCTTAGTTTAATTTGTTTCAAACTGAATGTGCTAATCAGAAGTTTGCCTACTTACTATTGTAAGCTAGCTGTAACAATTTTTATTTTTTTTTGTATGTAGTTATGGAGAATCGACGAAAATACGTTCAATTTCCGGGTGTTCAGCAATCAGTTTGCAGGAGTGCAGGCAGGTGGAGGCAGTCCTACAGTAGTTACAGTAGCTACCACCCCTGGAGCTTCTGAAACATTTAAGATTGTCAGGAATTCTAATGATAAAAATCGTGTTCGAATTCAAGCCCCTAATGGCCTATTTTTGCAGGTTTAACTCTTACCTTTTCTGGCTAGAACAACATTTGCAAGTTTCATTACGAGTAAATTCACTGAATTTGGTAGTTTGCTGAGATTGAACCGTTTTTAATTTGAATGAACTCTTGCAGGCAAAGACACAGGATCAGGTCACTGCAGATTATGCAGGGGATGGTGGATGGGGAGATGATAACCCATCTGTTTTTGTGATGAATATAGTAGGAACCTTACAAGGCGAATTTCAAGTTACTAATGGTTATGGCCCCGAAAAAGCCCCAGAGGTTATGAAGGTAAGAAACATATACTTAACCACTTGTAATATGTTGCTTTATATATAACCAGCTTCTCTAGCTGAAAATTTGAACATTCTGACAGAAATAAGAATATGTTCATTATATCAGGAACACTGGAACACTTTCATTGTTGAGGACGATTTCAGGTTCATTTCTCAGAATGGACTCAATGCTGTCAGAATTCCTGTAGGATGGTGGATAGCCAGTGACCCGACACCCCCTAAGCCTTTTGTGGGAGGGTCATTGCAGGCCTTGGACAACGCCTTCACTTGGGCACAGTATGTCTTTTTTCATATTTTTCCCTTCTATGTTCTGTTCACAATGACTTACTAATTTGTGAATTAGGGACTTATGGTGTTATTTGCGTGTGTCGAACCTGCAGAAAATATGGTATCCAGGTTATAATTGACCTGCATGCAGCACCCGGTTCACAAAATGGAAATGAACACAGTGGGACTAGAGATGGATCTCTTGAATGGGGAAAAACTGATGCTACTGTACAGCAGAGTGTTGCTGTTATCGACTTCTTAGCTTCCAGGTACTTGATCAGAACTAGAAGCTTCAGATCCTTACATTATAATTTCCACTTTTGAAATTCTGTTTACATATACATATAGCCGTTGTCTGACTGCACAATCTCATTTGAATTCAGATACGCAAAAAAGTCTAACCTGCTGGCAATTGAGCTGATCAATGAGCCTGTAGCGCCTGCTGTGACTTTGGACACATTGAAGAGCTACTATCAGCAAGGATATGATACAGTGCGCAAGTACTCTTCAAGCGCGTATGTTATAATGTCCAATCGTTTAGGACCTATAGATGCAAGGGAGTTGTTTCCCGTTGCCAGTGGAAAGCAATTAACAGTAGTCGATGTCCATTATTACAACCTCTTCTCCAGCATATTCGATAACATGAGTGTCCAACAGAACATAGACTTCATCAACAACAACAGGTCTTCAGATTTGAGTTACATTACAACCTCTGATGGCCCCCTTACTTTTGTTGGTAAGTACTTATTATGTAGCACCTAATACATTTTCCGAAATTTGACACTAATAATTAATTTAAATTTTGTTTAAATACTACAGGAGAATGGGTTGCTGAGTGGCAGGTGAACGGAGCAACAAAGGAGGATTTACAAAACTTTGGAAAAGCACAACTTCAAGTGTACGGCCGTGCCACCTTTGGATGGGCTTACTGGACTTACAAGAATGTAAACAATCATTGGAGTCTTCAATGGATGATTCAAAATGGTTACATCACACTAACCAATTAGTAGTATCATCGGCTATCCTTGGATACGAATGAAGATCATCCGTTACCTCAGCTTTATGGAATTACGACTTTGGTAATATTATTGTAACAATATGATATGATGTAAACTTAAGCCCTTTTATTTTTCAATATATATAACAATCAAAATACTACTCGTATCAAGTATACGAATTTAAGCACGTGATTGAAGTGGACAGTTTTATAAATCAACAAGAGAAGATAAATGAAAAATTCTATAATTCCAAGTTGGGCATTTTTAATCTTCAGAATCCATCTTCCAACAACCCTATATCAATCTTGTATTCTAAGGAACTAAACAATTGAGAACAAATTATCCTTTTGCAAGTATCAACTATATGATGCATTGGATGGATCCTTTATATATATGCTCTATTCAGTACAATATCAACTACCAATTAATTTTATTGCTATGTTGGCAATTGAGCTGATCAATGAGCCACTAGCGCCTGCTGTGACTTTGGACACCTTGAAGAACTACTATCAGCAAGGATATGATACAATGCGCTATGCGCAAGTACTCTAGCCTTTAAGCGCGTAGTATAAGAAGTTGCTTGCACCCTAATATACAATGCAGAGATACGTGTATTGTGGTACGTATCACACATGCCAATTAATTATCATCAATAGCAATTAACGTATGTAGTTCAGTAACACCTAATAAATTTTGGTAAATTTGATACTAATCATCTTATTATGTGAGTGGGAGGTGAATGGAGCAACAAAGGAGGATTACATAAACTTTGCAAATGCACAACTTCAAGTGAATGGTCATGCAACCTTTGAATGGAATTACAAGAATGTGAACAACTAATCATTAGAGTCTTCAGCGGATGATTCAAAATGGTTAAATCACACTAACTAGTATTTCCTCTGTTCTTTTTTACTTGACCAGTTTCTTTTATCACGCTTGCCAATGCACAAGTTTAACCATCAATAATTTTAATACTATATAAGTAAAAAATTATAAAAGTTATATATTGTGATAGTACTAATTTAGACGATTCTAACAAGATCCTACATGAATATGTTTTTCTTTACCTATACTTCACAAAAGACGGTCAAAGGTGGGTTAGTGAATAGTGTAAAAGTCAGAGCGGTCAAGTAAAAAAGAACGGAGGAAATAATTAGTATCAATCGACTCGACCCGGCCTTTGTACCCATGTGATTAATTGACAAAATATAGTACGATATGATGCACGTGATGATTACCTGATGCGAATATTACGCATATACGGAGTGTTTTCTTTGTTTTACTGACATTGCAAAAAGATAAAATTACGCATTCTAAAACATGTTTTATATGCTAAATATCTATAATTATATAAACGTAAAATTTATAAGAATTTGATATTATGAATGTATATTACAAAACGAATCTAATAAGACTATACATAATTATACTTTTCTTAACGCATAAATCATAATTTGTAGTTGAAAATGAGCGATGAATAGTGCAAAATAGTAATTGTTGTAAGATGATGAGTATATGGTACAAACCTAGGATCATTTTCCAATTAATTAATAAAAATAACGTACTCAGTACGAAGACGTAATTAATTACTCGTAATACTCCCTGCGTATTTTATTATTTGCTCCATTTCTCAATGTGTTCAGTTTTAGGAAGAATAATAATAAAAATTAAAAAGTACTCCTTTATAGAATGTGATGGAAGTATAGTTGGCTGAAGAATAAAAAAAAATTCTAAAAAAGCAAAAGTGAGTAGAGTGGGGAATCAAGAATATAAAAAAAATATATTAAAATATGATATGAGGGGATTATCAGTGAAGAGGAACGAGTAAAATAATACTAAACGTTTCCAAAAAAAGATTATGAAGCAAGCAATAAATACGGCCACGAAATAAAAGCGGATCAAGAAATAAAATACAGCCACAAAAAAGGAATTATATATATATATATATATATATATATATATATATATATATTTTGACGTCAAATCGAATTCAAAGGGTAAAATGACGCTTAAAACCTCTAAAATATGTGTTTGACACGAAAATCAAAGAAATTTTTTTAAAAAGTTAGATTTAACGGTATTTTTAACGGAAATTGTTAGATGGTGGTGAAATCTAACATTTTGTCTTTTTTAATGGTATTTATTTTAAAATATTTTTTTTGGTGGTAATTTTAAAAAGTGAGTTATTTATGGATGGTAAAATACAAAATTCCTTTACTAATATTTCATTGAAATGATTACATCAAACCTTAATGCGGGCAATCAAATGATGATTAGAAAAAGTTCAACTTCACAATACCATATTATTTCTTGACTAATTGCGTGTTGTCAATTAATTCCTTCTAATTGTCTTACTTCATACGGAGTACTCCGTATACTCTTACAGTATAAATGTGCATACGGCATACCCTTTGAAATCATAATCAAATACAACTAGAATATTTCATTTGTAAAAATAAAAACAGGCTAAAGATTTAATGAAGATTATTGGTGCTAAATCTGCCTTTTTATGTTCATTTTTAGTAGGAATATGTTGCATACAAAGCTTTGATAATAGGGTGTGAAGGTGGGAGGGCTAACAGAAGTCTTGCCGTAAACCCGGGTTTTAAAGTAAAGGCAGTTAATCTTGGGGGATGGCTTGTTACTGAAGGATGGATTAAACCTTCTCTTTTTGATGGCATTCCTAACAATGACTTGCTGGTTTGTATTTCTCTCACTCTCTTTTTTATGGCATTCCTAGCAAAGATAGCTTTTATTTTGGGCGGTATTTGTAGTTAGGGATTAGTAATTAAAAATTGATAGTGTAATTAGAAATTGATAGTGGGAATTAATTAGAGAATGTCGAATCAGGAAATAGAAATTGTGTTTAGAAATTAGAATTTAGAATGTAGGAATTGATAGTGGGAATTAGAAAAAAAAAATTTAGAGATGTAGGCCTTAGAGTGATTTTGGCTCCGATACCATGTCACGAAATAATTTTCCGTAGTTTTCATTGGAGTATAGCGAGCAAATATATATACAACCTAGCAAAGAGATTAGGGCTCATGAGATAGGCCCGATAACTATACACTATACACAATAATAGGCCCTAACAGTAGTCGAGCATTGCATTTTAGCTTAATACTTTTGCCAGCTATACTAAAATCCCGTCCAAAAAAAAAAAAAAAAAAAAAAAAAAAAAAAAAAAAAAAAAAAAAAAAACTATGCCAGAGTTACTCAACAAATTTATCAGGCATTTAAACTTAAAACATTTTATGCTCATTCTATATTGAATTCCATTTGTGAGGCCTTATGTTATTGGGCTGTTTGCATACCTTAGTAGCCGGCCCTAGCTATATTTTTGTTGGGCTTTCATAATTTTATTAAGTTTTTTTCCTTTGTAAAATTCTAATTAGTGAACACTAGACCCTAGTGTAGGTAGGACACCCTACACCCCCTCTAAACGCATCATTTAGAGTACTACCCACACCCTCCACTAACTTTTATTTTATCTCTCCTCACCCTTTTTTACATTTTCTCTCTCCACACCCATTTCTCTGCAAGTTTCTTTCTCATCAAAAGCTTTAATTGCAAAATTTTTTTTAAATTATCATAAGAAAAAAACTTCAAGCACTATGAAATTCAATAAAACAAGACGCAAAATCTGAAAAAGTAAGTTATTTTATTTAAATTTGGAATGAAAAAGAGTATAAACCCTAGGTTTTACTAATTTTTTTGTTGCGATGTATTTCGAAAATGTAATCGAAACATCAACCATGAAAATTGTATATCAATGTAAGTATTTACGATAATCGATCTTAGTAATTTTTATTGAAAAACTAGTAAATTATATCAGTACATTCTTCAGTTTTGTTTGCAGAGCGAAGGAAACCGTTTCAGAGAAGAGAAACAAAGAATATAGTTCGTAGTTTACTATTATTATTATTATTATTATTATTATTATTATTATTATTATTATTATTTCTTTAATTTTTCATTTTTATAAATGTTCATTTTCATTTTGTTAAATGTTCATTTTCATTTTGTTAAATGTTCATTTATAGGTTAGTATAACGTCATTCACATTTTAATAAATGATAAATGTTAATTTACGTATTGATAAATGTTCATTTTCATTCTTATTCATTAAAAGTTCAATTTTATACTATTAATTAAAGCACCCAATTATATAATGAGTAGTTATTTTTACAAATTTAATAAGAAATTTCAATAAGAGTGTGTGTTATATTGTAGTTGTCATGGAAATGATTCTTACAATTACAATAAGGAGTGTGTGCTACCTTCAAAAATTTTCAATAAAAAGTACAAAAATTATAAATTTTATACATTTTTCATCTATAATAATGCTCCTTAATCAAATGTTCAATTATAAATAATTGTATGTTCATTTACAACTATTAAATAAATATGTTCAATTTTGAAATATTATATGTTCAATTACAATAATCAAATATGTTCATTTTTGAAATATTATATGTTCAATTATAAATAATTGTATGTTCATTTACAACCATTAAATAAATATGTTCAATTATAAATAATTGTATGTTCATTTACAACCATTAAATAAATATGTTCATTATTTTTGAAATATTATATGTTCAATTATAAATAATTGTATGTTCATTTACAACCATTAAATAAATATGTTCATTATTTTTGAAATATTATATGTTCAATTATAAATAATTTTATGTTCATTTACAACTACTAAATAAATATATTCATTTTAAAAATATTATATGTTCAATTATAAAATTATACGAGTATACTATTTATTAAAAAATTTAAAAATTATACACTTCTCGTTAAAATCAGAAGCAAGCTTTATCAATGGTGATTTGAGCTTCTTTATATTTTCCCTGCTTCTTAATCGTTTGCACTTTCCCTCTTTAACCCACTCAACTAATTAAGCCACAATAACCATTGTTGCCTCATTGCCTCACGACCACTGTTGTCTCGCTGTCGTCGCCGCTACCACAATAACCACCATCATCTCGCCACCACCGCTACCATAACAACTGCAATTTGTTCATAATTGCTTCGATTAGGCTTGCAATTTTCTTATTGAGTTGATTGCTTGTGAGTTAGGATCATCAATTGCTTTTTTAGTTTTTTGAAACAAAGGATCATCAATTGTTTTATTATAATTGATACCATGGAAATCTCTTCACACTCTTTATTTTATACGAGTACAATACTTTTTACATGTAATTGAAACTCAAAACATTGAATTAACTTGCAATGGTATATAACAAAAAAAAAAAA